AGTACAGTGTCGGCCAAGTAAACGACGCACCAGCCACCCAGCACACAGACTACCACAGGCATCGGGATCATCTTAGCGACGAAGAAAATGGTACAACACGAGCGTGAACGAACAGACGAAGCCAAGCCTCAGTTCTCATCCGGAACGAAACACCACGCGGAACTACTCTGTGCGACATTCATTCATCGAGCAGGGCACTTCCGCGTGTAACACACCAGGGGAAAAAACCGTAGCGTGTTGAGCAAAGGGCTGCGGTTGCAATGGTTCCGTCCAGAGATTTCAGGTTCCCATTCCCAGTGAGAAGACTCCTCCATGTAAAAGTGACAGACATAAGCAATTAATGTAAAAACTCAAGCAAGTTATTTTAGAAGCTCCCTTTTTGTTGCTGTACTCCCCCCCCCCCATACACTGGGAAGCCTAAACAGCTCTACAAACCAAAGCATCACTATAAGCCAAAAGCCCAGGCTCTTCTTGTTCCCAACCTCCAGGTAAGGCCTGGAGTTTTCCCGGACTAGAGATCAGTTCGTTTGGAAGAAGAAGAAGAAGAAGAGATTGGATTTATACCCCGCCCTTCACTTGGAGTCTCAGAGCGGCTTACAAACTCCTTTCCCTTCCCCTCCCCTCCCCACAACAGACACCCTGTGAGGTGGGTGGGGCTGAGAGAACTCTGACACAAACTGCTCTTTTTCAAGGACAGCTGTGCCAGAGCTTGTGGCTGACCCAAGGTCACATCAGCAGGTGCAAGTGGAGGAGTGGGGAATCAAACCCGGTTCTCCCAGATTAGAGGAAATGGCAGCTTCAGAGAGAGGGCTTCATGGCATTACATCACCCCTGAGCTTGTTAGCCTCCCTAAATTTCACTCTCCCCAGTCCCCAGACAGCACCCCCAAATCTCTAGGAATTTCCAGAGCTGGCAACCTCCTGTTCACTGGTTGCACTGTGTCCAGCACTGTTGAGGTCTTCCTCCCTGGCCCCACTGCATCTGGCTGGTGCCCTGCCTCAACATTCCACATGAGGCGCAAAGGTGTACGCTAGCAACCTGTGTTGTTTTGTTTTAATAAAGGCAGGGTTAGCAAAGCCCTTTACCACAGTTGCAGGAAGGAAGACCGGGGGACGGTGGAGAAGTTCAAAGTGTTTAGCACACAAGTTGAATATGTTTTCCTTTATAAACATCTGTAACAAAGAATAAACATTTTGGAAATGTGGCTGTTATTAAGATGATGTAGCTTGACAAAATATTGTTACTGCAACAGTGCTAGTGCCTTCAAAAGGTGTGTAGCACACTGAAATACAAGGACTACCGTTTTCACACAGCTGTTACTGCCATGTTTCAGAAAGAAAGCAAACTAGCACCTGGCTTCTTTTCAGTTTTAATTTTTAAATATATTTAGTTTGTTTTCTATTTTCATGGGACAGAGTCTTCATATTTTCAAAGCACTGTAGCAAAATCTAGATTACCAGATGCAGCATTTGCCATTTCTCCTGAAATTTGTCAGACAGCATTTTAGCAGCTCAGGAGCCCTGCCATGAGAAAAATAATATTTTCTCATCTCCTTTTTTAAAACTGAGGTTTCTACAAACTGAAACACACCTTTGAATGCATTGATTCTGTTACATTACCCCTTTGGTGGCATAAGAAATATCTATGGATGTCCTCACTACATACTTGAATGTGAATGTGCAAAATCTTTCACCTTACCTTGTGCCTTGTTAAGTACCAGACTCAACACAACTTGTGAACAGTGAATCAGCTTTATTAACGAAGTCAGAAGAAATCATCAACGAAACAATAACATAGAGCAACAGGCTCTCTTTTAAACAGAAGAAATCATGAACGAGACAAAAACATAGAGCAACAGGCTCTCTTCTACCGGGCTTGGATAGCCACAAGTCAGTTAACAACCAATCACTATTTACATATAAGATCCAATCAGAGTGCTTCCCTCCAGAACATTGCGCAGCTCTGATTGGTCTATTTACAATCCTGTCTCAGAACTCAACCTAATGCAGAACTTAATACATAACACGCCTGATTTGTTGGGCAGGCTGATAGATAATGGGTAGGATTGTGAACCTCCAGGTGGTGGCTACAGATCTGCTATTACAATTGATCTCCAGGTGACAGAGATCAGTTCACCAATTTCACCTGGAGAAAATGGCCAGGTTGGAAGATGGTTTCTATGAGACATTATACCCCACTGAAATCCCTCCCTCCCTCCTGAGGCTCCACCCTCCAAAATATCCAGGTATTTCCCAGTCTGGAGCTGGCAACCCTAAGGAGTGGTTTGCTTTTAAAATAACATGATTTACTTTAAACTAGTCTCTTTTCTTTAAAAAAATAAATAAATCCGAAAGCACGTAATTGTTAGATCGCGCTAACAAAGGACTCGTAGAGTGATTTCAGCAAGTGATTCAGCTTTAATACGAACAAGCACTCAAACGCATTCAGAAACCAGAACAGTAAAACATTGGAGCTGGGCTCCTTTTAAACATACCGGGCTAATATAGCCACTCCTACTATATACATAACAACCAATCAGATTGCAGAGATAAAGGCGAATCAGTGTCCTTCCCGCTCAGGGAACAGTTCGTCTGTGATTGGTCGCTGTTTTGAAGCGACCAATAGTTCGTTAGCACTGTCGGAGCCTTGGCTGGCTCGAAGTTCAACATGGGAGGTGGATTAAGCGATTCATGTTATGCTGTCAGTACATAACAATTCCTCCCCCTTAAGTTAAGACAATACATCATAATTTACAGTTATATTTACATATTACACATATATCCGATGCCTGTCAGGCAGTATCAAACAGTTTGCTGCAATCATAGTCAGCTAAATATGTTGGTGGTCTGTGTGTACGCTGCGACCTTCTAAGTGCGATAGGTTCATTTTGCGGGGCTTCTAACTGTGGTTCCACAGACCTTGAATCAGGCGCTTTTACGGCCGGGTCTGCTGGTTCAGTCTCAGGGAATTGCCCTGCAGTACCTGCTGACTCTACATCGTCCTCCAGGGCGGGAGGTTGAGAGATTAATTCAGAGGACCCAGCCGGCGAGTCGGCGCTGTCCTTAACCCAACGCCTCCGTAACTGGTCCACATGGCGCCGCCATCTCCTACGATCCGACATCTGGACCAGGTACATTCGAGTGCCAATACATTCCCCAATCACCCCCGGGGCCCAGGGATGGCCGGCAGCATAATTCAGGGCGAAAACATTATCTCCGACCTGAAATGTGCGCATGCTCGTATGCGGGTCTGTACGCTCCTCCTGTTGCTCGTTCAGGTCAGGGTGCAACCTGTTTAACCTGGTGGTTAGTCGCCTGCCCATGAGTAGCTCGGCCGGGCTACGGCCTGTTGTGCTACAGGGGGTGGTGTGTTGGCGCAGAAGGAAAGACCCCAACCGAACACTCCAATCCCCCTCTGTCAGTCTTCCCAGGGCTTCTTTGGCCGTGCGTACCATTCGTTCCGCTTGGCCATTTGAAGCTAGGTGAAAAGGGGCAGCGGTGATTTGCCAAATGCTATTGTCCGCTAGGAATGTCTTAAATTCCTCGGACACAAACTGAGGGCCATTGTCGCTGACCAGAGTGTCCGGCAACCCGTGGGTTGCGAACAGCCTACGGAGCGCATGGATGACCGCTGTGGATGTGGTCGTATTCATTTGCACCACCTCTAGCCATCTGGAAGACCAAGATTTGAATTCCCACTCTGCCACGGAGGGGTTGGGTCAGTCTAGGGTTGCCAGCCTCCAGGTGGGGCCTGGAGATCCTCTGCTTTTACAACTGATCTCCATCTGACAGAGATCATCTCCCCTGGAGAAAATGGCTGCTTTGGAGGGTGGAGTCTGGCATTGTGCTGAGGCCCCTCCCCAAACCCCACCCTCTCCCAGATCCACCCCCAAAGTCTGCAGGTATTTTCCAACCCAGACCTGGCAACCCTAGGTCAGTCACTGTCAGCCTAACCTACCTCACAGGTTAGTTGTTGTGAGGATAAAGCAGAGGAATGGAGAAACATGTTGGAAGTCATTTTGGGCCCCCACTGGGGAGAGAGCTAAATATAAATAAATAAAAGTAAAATAAACTGTCTCTGACCATGTTCCACATGTGTCATCGTCAATATATGAGATTCTCAGCCTGGCCCTATCTGTGGATTTTTCAGTCCAGAGACTGGAGCCATGAACAGATGAGACAGATCTTTCTACAAATCTGAAAAAAGCCCCATATTTGCAGAAAAATTCTGAAATCTAAAAAACAACCAAACAAAACACCCATTGGACCAAAAAGCAGTTCACTGAAAAGGCCAACAAATACTGCCTTAGTGTCCTGACCTAGATAGACCAGGCAAGTCTGATCTCATCAGATCTTGGAACGGGGGCCATAGGCAGCAGCGGTGGGGCACATGGGGTGGCGCCAATATTCCATCTAAGCTGAGTTAGTGTGAGCTAGCTCACAGTTTTTTAACTTCCAGCTCACACATTTTTGTCTTAGCTCAGGAAGGATGGCTCCAGAGCAAACTAATTTGTGCAGTAGCCAAATTGCTCACTCACAACTTTAATGCCAGTAGCTCAAAAAGTAGAGTTTTTGCCCACAAGACTCCACAGCTTATAGGAAGCATTGGGTGGCACCCCCTACTGAATCTATAGCACCCCCACCATGCCGGCCTGAAGCTCATTCCCTGGCCAGCCCTTTATTCTCTGTGGGCTTGCCACACTTCACCTCCAGCGCCTGATGATCTCCCAGCTGAGTCTGGGGCTTACAAAGCAGAGTCCATAGCCTAGGCAGGTTGGGTGTGCACCAGAGGAAGCTGGTGAGCTCTTGCCTCTCCCCAGGGTCATCCCGCACAGGGCTTCCCCAGTGCCTGCATTACCTTGCAGATGGCCAGCTGAGGGGGAGACAGGTCTGGCAACTTTGCAGTGGACTGGCCACTCCGGGTAGGTGTGGGCAGCAAGCTGATGCCCTTAGCTCACCTCCTCATTGCTGCTGCAGCAAAAGGGCCGGCATCACCCACATGGGGCTGCTCCATGCTCACAGCCACGAAGCTCCCTGGAAGAGGCATGGGCAAGCGGTGCCTGGTTCCGACTCTCCTCAGCAGAGGGGGTCAAGAGACAGGCCCCTGGCAGCCCAGCACTCAGTTTCAGCTGCTGCATCAG